ACTTGCTAGGCATGTCAAATTTCTCCACTCCCCAATTAGTCCCTTTCCCATTAATGCTCATTAAAAAGGCTGTTTTCATTTTCAGTCTGCCAACTTCAGATCTGTGCGTCAGAGGCTGTCTATATGCAAACGATCCATTAATGCACAAGGCCGCTTTGCTCAGACCTTGCTGGCTCTGATACATGGTGAAGAGAAAAACTAGGGCTCAGTCTGGATTGATTTTAATTTAGGATGAGAGATGGGCTATTTCTGTTTAAGATGTATCATATTCCTAAGGAACTCTGGAAGAGTATTTCTCCAAAATTCAGGGGAATTTTGAGCAGGTTGGGGGCAGAGAGAGAGAGGTAATGGACAGGAAAGTACTTTGCGAGGGGTTCGTTTGTTTCTTAATAGACCATTTGACAAGCAGACATCCTTTAACGTGGTTTACAAAACGTGAAATGGAAGTCCCATGAACACTAAAATAATCAAAACAATATATATAGCAATGAAAACATAAATAATTTAAAAATGGGTGTTGAAATTACCATTATTAGATTAGAAATTAAGGGTGCCAGTCTTAATAAGTGTAACAACCACCAGCACTGCCCTATGCATACTTGGGCAGAACAAATCCTGGAACTTCCCTCATTCCCCAACTGGTTTGGCTGGCTGAGGAATGGTGGAAGTTGTAGGGCTTTTTAGGGTACTATCCTAAACATGTACCCCAACTGCCAGCAGGAAAGGGAAGGAACAGACATCTAAATGCACACAGTGAAGGTATAGGTGAATCTCCCTGGGAAGGGTATTTCACGGCGGGCGAAATATGAGAGAAGGCACTTCTTCTGGTAGACTGATCCTAAACAGTTTAGGACTTTAAATGTTAGCTCCAGCACAGCCTGGAAACTGACTGGCAGCCAGTGCTGTTGAATGCAGTGTTGGAGTAATGTGTTCAAAAGGTAAGTAGCCTTACCTTTTCAGGCCATCTTCAAACGTCATTTCACCTTCCTGTGTTCTTCAGCCTGACTGGGAACAGCGGGAAAGAGCCACTGATAGTCATTCTTACTTTCTGGGCCTGGGATCTGTGAGTGTAAGAGCTGTGCTGGATCAGGCTTGAGTTCTACCTGGTTCAGCATCTTCTTTCCCACAGTGGGCATTTGGAGGATGATAGAGCGAACATGAGCAGGGTGGGAAAACAAGAGCCTTTCCTTGAATCTGAGGCTGGATAGTCATTGAGTGATGGAGAAAGGGATCAGCAAAGGGTTGTGGAGCGCCAATGCAGCATGATAACTGTGCCAAGTAAAAATGAAAGGAGAGAATGTCTCTGAGGGACAATGAAGAGGCTGGAAGAGAGCCAGTGTGGTGCACTGGCCGGAAGGGTTGGACCAGGCGCCAGGGTAGCTGAGTGCTAATCTCCAGTGGATAACTTTGGGCCAGTCACTGATGCCTGGCGTTTTATCCTCACAAGGTTGTTGTGAGAATAAAATGCATGTTGATGGTCTCCTTGGAAGAAAGGTGGGTTATAAATATAACACATTAATAAATAACAAAAATGTTTCTGGAATATCATTTGTCCAATATTGTCCAAAGTGGCATAGACACCTTGGCAAGTTAGGCAAATGGGAAAGAAATTTTAGAAAGGGGAACTCAAAGAGAACAGGATACCTGTCTAAATATATGCAAATTTGGGGCAGATTTGCATATATGTATATCATAGTGAAATCCTCATTTACTCCCCCATGTCTACAAATGCATGTCCAAAGAGTAAGTTCTGGTAATGCAATTAGCAGAACTGTGCTGCAGAAAAGCAGCAGCTGGGGTGCTTTTTTGTAGCTCATAAGTGTGCTGCCTGAAATGAGCCTTTCAGTAGCACATTTTTGTGTTTGTGTGGAGCTACAACATTTCTGAACAAGCTTTTCCTAAGTCTTCTCCCTCTCCCTGGAATCTTGTTATTTTTATGTCAGGAAGACGGGTTTGATCTCCAGGTAATCTTGTTAGATACAATCCCATTAACCTGCTAGTACTTCCATTGGGCCTATCTCATTAAGAGCTGCTCTCCTGTATCCTCTGCTATGGAAATAAAGTTGTCCATGATGAATTGGGCTGTCCCTTCTAGAAAGAGGGCTGCTTTTGGTTGTGCTCGGGAAAGCTCTCCGTCGTGGAGCTGTGGGGTCATCCTCTTGCCCGAAGCAGAGCAGTTCCCCCTCTCCTTGTAACCTAACCAGTGGTAGCTATCTTATCCTCCCTACTTGTACTTTTCTTTCTCTCCCCTTTTTTCATTCCCCACTGTCAAACTTTAATTGGTCGGCTCCTTGGGGTAAAAAATTAGCTTCTTCTTTCATTTATATTGTAAAGTATCACATACAGTGATGGGGCTATAAAATAACCCAGTAATGACATCCACGTAAGGCAATCCCTTTTTGTGAGGCAGCTGCAAAATGAGCAAACAATATTTTGGAATGCATAAATAGAGGCAGAAAAAGAGAACTGCTCATTCCCCTCTACTCTGCATTAGTCAGACCTCATCTGGAATACAGCGTTCTGTTTTGGACACCCAGGTTTAAAAGGATGCTGATAATCTGGAGAGGCTTCAGGGGAGGGCAACCAAGATGATGCAGGACCTGGAAAATACGTCTTATGATGAACGGACTGGGCTGGTTCAGCCCTGAGAAAAGAGGACGACAAGGTGACATGATAGCACTCTGCAAGTACCTCAAAGGCTGCCACAAAGGGGGAGGAAAAGACCTCCGCTCACTCATCCCAGATTGTGGGACGCGGAACAAAGAACTTCAACTCCGGTACACCAGGTGCAGGCTAGGCACAAGGAAGAACTTCCTTCCTGTCAGAGCAACGTGGCAGTGGGACCAGCTGCCAGGAGAGGTCGTGGGCTCTCCCACACTAGAGGCCTTCAAGAAGCAGACATCTGAGCAGAGGGTTGGACTTGGTGGCTTTCCTGGTCTCTTCTGACCCAACCCTTCTATGATTTTGTGATTCAATCCCGATCTTTGCCTCTCTGAACCATCGGACATCAGCAGGTCTTACCTGTTGGTGCAGATGCAAAGGGGCTTTCACGGCCATCTTGCACATGAATCGGCATGCTCAAATCCTATTGGTCAGCATTGCTGGGTGTATGAGAATTCTTAACATGAGAATGCTGCACATGTGCAAGAAGCCAGGAGCCTCATTAAGGATAAGCTGAAAGGACTATCCCCAGTGTGCCAACCCCTTTGCATTTGGGGAATCCAGGGCACTCCTTTTGGCTGAGCCTCTGTTCTGATTCACTGCTCCCAAACAGTCTTGAGGGAGGGACTGACCTGCTGGTGGGCAGGGACTTCTTACCCCTTCTGCACTCTCTTTTAAAACACTTGCTAAAGCTGCTGGTTTTGCTGCCAACAGCAGGGGCATGACTGCTGTTGCTGCACTGGTACCAAGGACAGCAGCTGTAGAAACTTTTTTTAATAAAGAAAGAATGAAGAAATGTAGCAGGGAACATAAACCTCCAGATTCATTTCAACCCCTCTCCTTCATTTCATTTAATTTCATTTCATGGTTCACCTTGAAATCTCTGTCCAATTCAGGCAGACCTCTGAAGCAAAAGATAAAGGGGGCCAGGCTTCTTCATTTTTTGTGTTATGAGACCTTTTGTAATCAAGTGCACAAATATATGTTCATTCAGGGTTACTCTGAGCAGCACAAATTCAGATAGAGCTGTAACGCTCCTGCTTCCAAATACTTAAGCGCAATGGGGCTTGAGGGGCAGCTGATAAACCGTGTAGCACAGAGGTAGAAGGGCTGTTTTCCAAGGCTCTTTGCTGAGCCGAAACAATTTTGTGGTGCCTCTAGGAGGGCAGGGGATGGGTGAAGCAGGAAGCCAGCTTGGAGCTTGCTTCATTTGCAGAAATATTATAAAGAAAAATCAATACTTTGGAAGCTTTGGGGTGAGGATTGCAAACTGATGATCTGGCAACTCTGCCACTGACTAATTGGATTTAAGGCTAAGCAGTCTAACTGTGTAGGATTGCAGTTCTGGTCTCCTCTCTGCTCCTTGAAACCAAGGCTACAGGCTGATATCCATCCCAAGGGTTACTTTAGCCAGACACCAGGCATCTTGGAGCAGCATAGAAAGCCTCCGTCAGAGAGCAGAGTCGGTGGTGTGGGGCTGAGATCAGCATGATAGCAGCCTGCAGCCTCCTCTGTCCAGTCTGTATAAGCTGGAAAAAAACCTGAGACTGAGACAAGAAGAATGATGTGCATCATGAAATACCTGGGAAACCCTGACTAGCGTGTGGCAGAATATCCAAAGCCCTGTTGTTCTTGTCAGATCTGTGTCAGCAGCCCTTCTACATTGGGCGTGAGAAATGGGCATAATGCTGGACAAGCAGAATGTGATTTGATTATTGGGGTGTTCCTGTGAAAGGTGGTGTCAGCTTCATTTTGCAGTGTGATTGCTTGTGTAAAATGCATCCCTGCCCCAGACAAAACACCATCATCATAATTATTTATAATAGAAGCTCTTGCCACTTCTCCCTACGGGAGGAGAAAATAACTGCCATAATGCATTTGTGTTTGGTAAGTAATGGTATAAATACACATGCATAATTATTAATGGTTTGATCTTCTCATAGTGGCTTTGATATAATGGTGGTAACAATCATTTGAGCTTAAGCATAAACCTTCCTTGTGAAAGTTCTGTGCAGAGCCTGCCGCCTCAATCTGTTTTTCTCTGACTTAAGGTGACCCAAGAGGCTCTTTGTATGGAGCGATGCAACTCTGAACTGTGAATTGAGATATCAGTCATATTTATTGGGAGGAAAGTCTAATTTACTTCACTAATTTCTGAAAAAAAGTCGTTTTGCAAGTGTGACGAGGGATGGCGTGTTCTCAGTTGCATTTATGCTTCCTGAAAGTTCCCCTTTTAAGCTAAAGATGCGATTCATACTCCAAGCATGAGGCAAGCCCTATATTCTTTGCTGGCTCTGATATCCCTCAGCGTGAGATGGTTGTTTTTGCTTCTTTTCCAGGTCCTCATTGACTTGTCCTCACTGCCTAAAACAGAGCAACACTTTCGACCCCTTTTTGTGCATCTCGTTGCCCATCCCTTTGCGTCAGACCAGGTATGTGAGCCACGTATCGTGCTGACTTGTGTTTTACTATCTGTAGGTTCGCCTATATGTTTGCCATGGCCATTTCCACATTAATCTGTTTTTCTTCATGAAAACATGCAATTTGTATTTAAATACAAACTGTTAACATTATTTTCTTTCAAAATATGCATTTCTGAAAGTATTTTCATTCACACTGAAATGGATCTAGATATACTTTCTGATCCACAAATTGTGTCAGAACATTTGGGAAGTGCAAAGTACGGTGCTTAACTAAATTCCAATTTACCTATTAGTTTAGGAGCCAAGGATCATGACTGTTCATACTGGGATCTGCACAGGAAGAATAGGAATGTGCAATAAGATAATTCCTTAACCAATCTATGTCCTGCTGAGGAGCTTTCTTCAGGGTGAGGAATGCTACCCTCACTGAAGTGGTTACCCCTCTCCCCATTCAGAAAATCCTTGAATAATTTGCTCAGATGTCCAAGGCAGCTCCATTTCAAGCTGGTTGGGAAGCCTGTATCTTACTGCCCTTTCCTGAGAAGAAAATAGTTGCCTCTCCTCCCGAAAGTTGGAGCTAACAGGTTGCTGACGCATCTGCTGGAGCTGAAAGGCAACTGTCCCACAGGGACAGCTCTATATCTTGTGCATTCCGCCATCTCTGGGGGTATTCCTCCTTCTCAGAGCAGAAGGTTGCCTCTGGGCCTGTCAGCACAGGAAAAAAGCACCCCCTGAAAAAGAAGAAGCTGAAATATAAGGAGTAGGGAAAGCACCTCCAGATTAATTCCCAGTAGTGAAGTCATCTGCAGTCAGCACTGTAGATGAGGGCAGTACACCCTTTAGTCTGAGGGTGCAGCAGCTGCTTACAGCAGCAAACGCAGCTGAAGCCTGTCCTGTTGTGACTGCAGATGAGTAAGCCATGACTTCCCCTGCAGCCAAGGACTTGTAGTCACAGCCAATTGCTACTTTGCAGCAAAAATATTGCTGGATGTTGGTTCTGGGGAACTTATCTTCCATGCCATGGCTGCCTTATCCGGAGTGGCTTTTGCCACCATGACAGCCATGGGGTTGCCTCAACACATAAGGACACACTCCTGATCTGGTTTTCTTGACTTGGTGGGAAGACGATGATCTGAAAGTGGGAGTGGGGGGAATTAACACTGACCCCTTTGTCATGGTCAGATCAATTCTTTTTGAGGTTCAGACTCATGGCTCCTTTCCTTTTTTAGATTCAGACTCATGGTGGGGGACTTATTAGAATGGTCTGTCTCTGGAGGCTAATGGATCCTGAAGGTTTCCAGAGAGTTTTAGGATAATTTCCAGCTGGTATGATTGGTGCTCCTGTCAAAGCCCAAGTTTCCCTGTGGAATATGGAGATGGCTCAGGCAGTTGACACCCAAGTGCCCTCTTCCCTCAGACAGAGCTCATCCAGCCCTTGGTATACATCTGAGCTGAGGGCAAAGAAGCAAGAGGAGAAACAGCTAAAGCTTAGGTGGAGGAGAACTCATGCTGAGTATGACCAAGCACAGCTTCGAACTCACTACTGAGCCTACGGAGTGGTGATGAGGGTGGCAAAGAGGCCATTCTTTTCCACAGGGTGGCAAAGAGGCAGTTCCTTTTGTCTTCTCAGTGCTGGCCAGTGGAGCTTTTCCGAGTGGCCCACGGCCTTACAGTCTGGGCCAGAGAAAGAAACTGTTGAACCCTCAGTAGCCTGCTGTGATGAATTTGCAAAGTACAGTAAAGATAAAGTTGCTTGGACTCACCATGAGTTGGACATCACATTTAATGCAGGGCCATTAACAGAGGCATCCAAAGCACTGTCTGGTCCAGTTTTGCTAGATGAATTTCAAGATGAGAGGAGTTGCTATATGAGCTAGATGAGTTTTATTGAGGCCTGAAAATGTGGGCAAGATGCTTGGTCAAGCTCAACCTACCCCCTGTATGCTTGGCCCTTCCCCATTTTGGCTTATTGTTGCATCCAAGAAAGGGGATTTGTACCTGGGTCCAGGAGGTTGTAAATGCCCCTCTGAAAGAAGGAGTGGTGCCAGCCTCTTCAAAAGAAATCTAACCTCTACCCAGAAGATGTGAATAACTGCAGGCCTGTGGACAATACTCCCTTTCTGGGCAAGGTGTTTGAGCTGGTAGTAGCCGGACAACTCCAAGAACTCTTGGATGAAATGATCTATCTAGATCTGTTTCAATCAGGCCTGGATTTCAAATGGAAACTGCCTTGCTTGCCCTGTGCGATGACCTTTGCTGGGAGAGAGACGGGAGTGCAACCCTGTTGATTCTCAGTGGCGGGACGTCTCAGTGGCTTTCGGTATCCTTGAGCATGGGATCCTTCTGGATAGGCTGGTTGTGTTGGGAGTAGGAGGCTCTGCATGGCGGTGGTTCCACTCGTACCTGAACAGGGGCCTGGGGGATTGTTGCTCCGCACTGTGGTAGTTATGCCATGGAATGCAGCGGGGCTCTGTTTTATTCCCTCTGATTTGCAACACCCACATGAAACTGTTGGGAGAGGTCATCAAAAGGTATGGGTTGAGGTGTCGCCAGTATGGAAATAACACTCAGCTCTGCCTCACTTTTTTCACTGATGGTGAGGCCATGGCTGTTCTGAATCAGTGTCTGGGCTTAGTAATGGTCTGGATGAGGGCCGGCAAACTGAGACTCAGTCCAGATAAGGTGGAGGCACTTTTGGTGGGTGAATTGTCTTTCCAGCTGGGAGACGGTCAACCTTTCCTGGAGGGGGTTGCACTTCCCCTAAAGGTCAAGGTTTGCAGTTTGGATCTGGAGCTGTGGCTTGAGCCACAAAAGGACTCCGTGGCAGAGAGCACCTTTGATCAGCTCGGGCTGATACCAGCTGCAACTCTACCTGGACAGACAGAACCTGGCCGCAGTGCTCCATGCCCTTGTTGGGATTACTGCAATATGCTCTGCATGGGGCTGCCTTTGAAAATGGTTCAGAATCTCCAGCTGATCCAGAATAGAGCAGTGCAGCTGTTAACGGAGACTGTCCAGCAAGACCATATCATGCCAGTCCTCTTTCAGCTGCACTGGCTGCCAGTTGAAGCCTGGGGCCCAGTTCAAAGTGCCAGTGTTAACATGTAAAGCCCTAAACGGCTTGGGGCCAGGTTATCTGAAGGAACACCTTATGTACCTACCCAGGCCCTAAGATCCTCTTTCAGGCTCCTTCTCAGGTAGCCCCTCTAAAAGAAGTAAAGAAGGTGGTGAGAAGAAGAAGGGCCTTCTTTGTGACGGCGTCCCATCTGTGGAATGAGCTTCCAAAGAGGTACACCTGGCACCTACTCTTTTTTCCTTTAAGTACCTGGTGAAAGTCTTTTTAGTCATCAAGTATTTTAATATCTGGAAGGTTTTTATTTGGTTTTAACATTGTACTGTACTTTTATCTGCTGCTGTGCCTCTTCCACGACTTCATTGTGGACACGGTAGTTAGTCTATTGCTGTTGATTGGCTTTCATGGTTTATCGCATGTGTTTTGTTGTTTTTGTTTCCTTTTAGTTCTGTTAACTATGCAGAGAGCCTTTTGGCTATTGGGCTGTATGCAAGCATAATAAATAAATAATAAGTACATTTCGGCTGCACACTGTGTCTGGGGCCGGACGCCATCTCTTGCAGGCGGAAGGTTTGCCCTGGCCCTTGGCATTCTGCTCAGAACTCTTGTTTGTCAGCTGTTAGTGTAACCAAGTATTTGTGCAGAGGAAAAGCGGGTAAGTGGATAGATTGCCCAAACGGATCATGTGCATGTCTGAAGCAGACCACTTTTTTCTTAGCGCATCTTCCTGGGGCTTCTTCTCCACAGCAAAAGGCCATGTCAAGAGGGACTTGTTTACGGTGTCAAGTAGTTAATCCGAGGCCGATAAGAATGGAAAGAAAACCAGTCTTTGATTAATTAGGGGAGGCAGTTTCCCCTAATTAATCTCACTTTGCTTTAGACTAGGGATAAGCAAGAATGTCGATGGTAGTTGGACCCTTGTCAGTGGCTTGCAGAAATGGGTGACACACTTTGTTCAGAACAAGCAAACACTTGACTCTCTAAGCCTAGCAAATGTTGGTGCTTGGTAAAAATTAGGACATCCTAGTTAAACAGTTAAGTGATCCTGCTAATTAAATGGAATGTTTATGTTCAGTGCGCATGCTGGGCCCAACTAACTGGGCATTTTGCAGCCCGTATTGTTCATACACCTCACAAAAGCCTCTGCTTTGCCTCTGTTGTGGTGGATGCCGAGGTCGACTTCCACATGGCCGAAGGCTTTGCTTGGGCTGTTCAGTGCTGCTTACCAGTTAGGATGGCAACAGGCACCGGGCAGCCTCTGTCTACAAAGATGGTCTGAGCGCAGTGGTCATTCTACATTTAGCTCACCTGGTGGGCAGGGTGGGGGAAAAGGAGGTTTAGGACTGGGGAAGCCACCTAAGTGCAGCCAGGTCGAAGTCAGGATGGACAAGAAGCTGTGCTGCTGGAAGTGGGGTGCCAGGCTGTAACCCTGCCACCCTAGCTCTTTGATCTTCTGGAGCACTGGCTGCGTTCCCTACCATGCATGATGGAGATGTTCATCCATGCCTCTGAGCCTCTTCTTCCATGGAGAAACATAAGAATATGGAAAAATTCTAATAATTGGGGTGGCTTCCTTCCTGGTGCTTCTTGGGACATTCCTGCTTCTAAAACATCAAAACGTGTACCCTATCCTCTCCCATTCTTAAACTTAAATCTGTTCTCTGCTTTATCTGAAAATAAAATATAGGCCCTCTTTTAAGACATTTCAGATTAAAATCTTTCTCCTGTTCACACTGTAGTCCAGAGTCTATATCTATGTGTCATAGTATACAGATTTATTATTCTGCTTCCTTGGGAAAAGCATCTTTCATTAAACAAAGTTGGTTTCATTATAAATCTTGATTTTATTCATATTCAGACTTAATTGACTGGATTGATTCTTGCCCTTGTGAAAAATGTTTGTTGACTCAAGATCACAAATCACAAATTGACAGCC